TGGTCACTCACTTCTGAAAAAGCTGGCCATGAAAACCCTAGAAGAGCCACAGAGCCTTGCCTGATATGGTGCTGGAAGGTGAGAGGATGGAGCGAGAAGACCAGTCAGGGTTCTGCTCTGCTTTACCTAGGTCACTAAGAGCCAGAATCGACTTGATGGCACTAACAACAACAATTGTGCTGCAAGTAGCTATGCAATTTACATTCTAAGGCTCAGCAAATTTCTTTGTTTAAGAGCATCTTAATCTACCTTACGCATCCACTTGAAGACTGTCTTTTTTGTGGTCTGGGATGACAATAGACTTCAAAAAAATGTACTCTAGGCTTCTTAAGTTAGGTCTTTAACATTCTCCATGATCCAAGACCAGTAAAAAGAAAAGTCGTATTTATGGAAGGAATTATCGTGAGGGAAAAATCCAGGGTCAAGGTGTATCTTTTCCCAGTGTATTGCATGTAATCATCATAGAACCTGTTTGGGGTATAAAACTATGATAGAAAATATATTTGGTGAGTTTCTTGATAATAATCCAGAATATGTGCACACTGGTAAAGTAATCAAATGTACTACAGAATTCTCTGTTGGCTCAGGCAAGTTCTTAGGTTATTTGTCTGTTTGTAATAAGAAATTGTAAACAAAGGTTTTCCTTTACCTTTAAGGTAATTTGTCTAAGAAACAAAGATTCTGTGTTTTGTCTTTATCAGTTATTTGATTACTTAAAAACAAAACAAAACAAAACTAAGTCTTACAACTATATAACTTTCTGTATTTGTCTGTGAAATCTTTTTTTTTGTTTGTTTTACTACTTTTTTTTGTTGAGTTAATGATAGGTTACAATCTTGTGAAATTTCAGTTGTACATTAATGTTTGTCAGTCGTGTTGTAGGTGCACCACTTCACCCTTTGTGCCCACCCCCCACCCCACCTTTCCCCTGGTATCCACTAAACTTTTCTCTTAGTCCTGTCTGTGAAATCTTTAATTGTCACTCTGATTATGACCCTATTTGATCAAATGCCCAAACCTTTTGATATTTTTGACAAACTTCCCCAAATAAAATTCTAAATGAAGTCTTATGACTTTGACTTTGAACTAACTTTGGAATTTTCCAGATGGCCCCTGGAACATCTCAAAGGATTTGTTCTCTCTCCTTAAAAAAAGGCAGATAATATGTTATATTACATTGGAAGCATTGTCAAATAAGCCTATTTATGTTGTGTATGTGATAAGTGTTCCAGAAATTATGTAAAATTCCTGGAAATCTGAATTGTCCTAATATAATGTTAACTTTGATAAGTACAGTTTTCTGATAACTTTAAGATCATAAAACCAAACTGGGTAAGAATTTCCAGAACTAATGGTAAAACTGAATTCAAGCAGAACAAAAATTGATAACATGGAACTGAATGAACTGATGAGGATGATTCTGATTTTTATGACTTTTGTTTAAAACATTGCCAGCTTTAAGGAAACCTTTCCTCTTAAACTGGTTATGAGTTAGAGCAATCTGGTAAATTATACCTTTGTAAGCAGAACTGAAACAATTACTTTTTCTCCCTCCCTGATCCCTCTAGAATTTGGAAACAGTGAATATTCTTTATGGTACTATAGTTATTTGCATAACTTCAATAAGAATCTGTTCTTCTTATAACAGGACACAATTGGAAATATTGGTTATATCACCAAAGCATAGACTGTAATGTCATGTGTGAGACAGGCATAGACTCATATATGACCAGATATCTTTAAGGAACAAAGGTTGACTTTATGGAGCCAAAAAAGCCCTTTGGAACTACTGGCCTGGTGCCTTGCTTACAAGGTTACAGCAGCCTTACCAAGTAAGGAAGGTCACTTCCTGGCAAGCTCAGGAATCTCAGGATATTTTGGGAACCTCAGGAGAGAGGAATTCACCCAAATCTATAGGGATTGCAGGCAAGTCTGATGGCTAGTCCTTGGCTTGGCTTTCTGACCTCAAGAGACTTTTGACAGTTCAGCCTGGGATTCCTTATGAAAAGTTCCAGGGGGGCAGATTTTTATGGCCAATTGCTCTTCTTGCTGCACTTATGTAAATAATCAGGTCAAGTTTAGTGAAAGTCCTAATTTGGCTCTCTTTAGTAGACATGAGGGTGATTTTAGAGAGAAAAATTATGTTTCAGTATACACCTTTCAGATTCCAGTACTGTTAATTGTCTTTGAGGTTTTGTTCTCTCCCTGTAAACTAGCCTGGATCCTGAATTCTTCTAGTTTCCTCCAACATTTGGCTAGAACTCTACTTGGAATCACTATGAAACCAAAACTGCTCTTTTCCCGAAGCCATACAAGCCAAAGCTGGACAACTTGATGTAAATCTCAGAGAAATCACCAGAACAGCTCATATATGAGCAATCTTCATGCCCGTTGCTATGTGGCCACTCAGAAAGATCACTAGAGACATTCAGACCACAAACCAGGAAAATCTTTCAGATCGCCACTGCTTGCCCTCACTCCATCGGAGGATGCTTCAAACCCCATGTCTAGAAATTTTCTCAACTGGATGCTCTCCAAACTCAGAAACTGAATTTAATATTTAACTGGCTCCTAGGAGTCTCTGTCCAGGGAATTTCTCAGTCTTTGGCTGTTACTATCCGTACAGTCATCATATTACCCTCTCTAGGGCACTGTATACTCCCAAGGGTTTTAAATGCCTGTTGGCAGCCACTCACATACCAAATGACATCCATTAGGATCGGACAACTGAATGAAATCAACAATAACCATAAATTATGAAGATACTGACTACTTGCCCCGCCCCCCGACCCCCCTCCCCACCCCAGCTTGATGTCTCACTAATGGAACAGCAAGCGTATGATCCTTTGGCATATGTCAACTGAGAATAAGTCTATAATAGCAGTCATACTCTCAGCCTACTCTCAGTCTCTACTCTCAGTCTTAAAGTTTCCCTGAACAGACAAAATGAGGTTAGCCATTGTTTTAGCTTAATTACCAATTACTGTGAAGACACTGCATTGTGACTATACAAGCTGCTTTGTAACACTATACCCGTAGGCATCATGCCATGTTTTGGTTTGAGTGCTGCCGGTTTGCAAACTGTCTTTTTGGGGTGCGCACAATAAATTTTTACTAATTACTACTTCAGCGATTCCTTGGTTTTATTTTGGCGATTTTTGAACCTTTGACCCTATCTATAACAGCCATACTTGAGATTCAAAGACACAAATAAGATGAAAGTAAAAGGATGGAAAAAGACATACCATGCAAACAGTAACTGATAACAAGAGAGACCAAATTGGGGAAAAGAACGAGTCTCCATAAATTTCAAGAGATTGACATAATACCAAGTGCATGCTTTATCCACAATGGAGTGAGTGTAGCATGACAGGTCTTAGTAAATATCTACTGCATGGAATTTGAAAACATAGTCTGTCCCTCCTAGTCATCCTCACTGTCTAACCAGCGCTTCTAAACTTCTCCGCCTGGAGAGGGACTTCGACAAACGTTCCGGCGCGCATCACCAGGCCACCTCACCCACAAAAGCTAGCTCACAGGGGACTTCATGGTCTTATTTCCTGGAAACTGCTCCATCCCTCCCCTTGGGAAGCAGCACTTTCTAGCAGGAAATGCTTGGCTTCTGGAAACAGATAGTTTAGATGCCAGTATTCATAGTCTTTGGCAAGTTATTTAGTTTCTCTAAGCCTCAGTTTCCTCATCTGTAACACGAGATAATGACACCCACCTCAAAGGGACTTAAAGGAGATACTGTGCCTAAATCCTAATTTCCTACTCTCCCCACCCCCACTCTCCTGTCTTCCTCCTCCCCATGCAAACACTACCACCACAATATGAGAGAACAGATGGGGTAAAGGGTCCTGGAGGAACAGAGGTAGGACAGCCAGGAGTTAGCATGCTGAGTAAAGCCATCCTGAGCTGGAATCCGGTCCTACTTTGTCTAAAATATGTGACACCCCGCCCCCCCCCCCCCCGTAAAATGGATGTAATGACTTCTGTATTGTAGTGCTTATAGAGATTCTGAGAGAGAATATGTGTGACTTGTCTAGCACACAGTAGGTGCCCCATAAGTGGTAGCTGTTACCTTTAGTGGTAGTCTAAGACATTTTTTCTCATTTTTTGCTGCCCACCCTGTCCCCACTGCCAACTCCAGCTAACTCCTCCCAAAACACTGTCTTTTTCTTTGTCCCCCATCCCCTCTCTTGAACACTTCTCACCTCCTGTACACCCACTTTTCCTGCATCCAGGCCAGAGGGGGAAAACACAGCCTGAAAAATGAAAGAAAAAAATCTAAACATACAATTTTCAGAAAAATCTGTAATGCCAACATTATTTTTTCAGTGCATGTGTGTATAAATGCAAGTGTGTATGCTGAGAGAAAACCTTTGTTAAACCGGAATGTCTCCAAACCGCAGCGAAGTAGAAATGGAGAAAAAAAGCCTGTTATATGGGGGTATGGAAAGAAATCACCAAGTTTAGGGATAAGTATGTGATTATGGACTCCCGTCTATAGAGATCAGGGATCATATGCCAATACGCCAGAGCCCAGGACCAGGAAACAGGAAGGAAGGATTTAAAAAATAAGAGAAAGTTCGTCGTTTAACTGTTGCTCCGGTTATTTGATAAGGCGGGTCCTGATATGACAGCCTGGCCCGCGGGGGCGGTGGGACGTCTCCGGTCTGGCTGAGTTCTCCGAAGGAAGGGACTTGCTGCAGGCGACTTAGTGAGGAAGCCGGGCTGGATCCTGCCTCTGACCCCGGGGATCCAGGGTTCTCCACCCGACGCGTCAGTTTCCTCATCCGCAGAGACACCCTAGGAAGCCTCCTGGGGGTCGGAGGATCATCTGAAACCGTGCTCAGCGCCCCGTTAGTTCGACTCGGACCGCAGAACCTTGGCTCCCCGGGTACCCTGACAGGCCCGCCCCACCCCCTCGCCCATCCTTCCCCCGCCCCGGCCCGCCCCTTGCCCTCACGTGACTTCCTGAAAAGCCGTGGGGATCTGCCCTTCTCAAGCTCGGTTTCGTTTCCTGGCGACCCGGGTAGACAGTGCAGCAGTCGCGGCCGTGGTTCCAGCGCGTCCCCTCGTTCGCCCCAGGAGAACCATGACGGAGCTGTTTACCCTGGCCGAGGAGCTGTCGTGCTCCATCTGCCTGGAGCCCTTCAAGGAGCCGGTCACCACCCCGTGCGGCCACAACTTCTGCGGGGCGTGCCTGGACGAGACATGGGCCTCCCTGGGTGCGCCGTACCGGTGCCCGCAGTGCCGCGCCGTCTACCAGGCACGGCCGCAGCTGCGCAAGAACACGGTGCTGTGCGCGGTGGTGGAGCAGTTCCTGCAGGTCGAGCTGGCTCGGGAGGCGCTCCCCGATGGCTGTACGCCGCCCGCCAGCGCCGCCGCCCCCGCCGAGACCCCCGCCAAGCCCCCCGCCCCGGCTGCCGAGGTGGCCTGCGACCACTGCCTGAAGGAGGCCGCCGTCAAGACGTGCCTCGTGTGCATGGCCTCCTTCTGCCAGGAGCACCTGCAGCCGCACCTCGACAGCCCAGCCTTCCGGGACCACCCGCTGCAGCCGCCCATCGGAGACCTGATACGCCGCAAGTGCCCCCAGCACAACCGGCTGCGGGACTTCTTCTGCCCAGAGCACGGCGAGTGCATCTGCCACATCTGCCTGGTGGAGCACAAGAGCTGCTCGCCTGCGCCCCTGAGCCAGGCCAGCGCCGACCTGGAGGTAGGGGTGGTGGGTGAGGGCGCAGAGGGGCAGCCTGGGCCTGCTGGGCCTGCTGGGTTGTGCCACTCTGGCATGCCGGCATACCCTGGATCGCCTGGGTTCCTCGCTGGGCCAGGAACGTCCCCGATGTCACAGTAGAAAGGGGCTGGGAGAACATACAGCACTGCTCTCTGCCGCGTGGCCCATCCCCACCCTCTACTCCCCATTTTGCGCAGGGGACCAGCAAAGACACAGATGATGCTTGCCTTAAGCCTGGTACTTGTCTGATGGTGGTTGGTAGAGGGTTTTGAACGTCGACTATGAGCCCTGGAGGTTCATGCCTCTGTTCCCTCATTAAAACCTGGCAGCACATGAGGTGGGTATAATTAGTTCCATTTAGCAGTTGAAGAAATGGAGGTCCAGAGCTAAGCCAGTAAGAGGCCATGTGGGCACTGGGACCCCAGCTGGTTCCACTCCAGTTTGCGTTTCTCCCCATGGACCAGCCTGCTGTCCGAGTGTGCAGAGTCCAGAGCATGGGACATTCCTGGAGGTTTGAGGTCACGTGAGCAAAAGCCTGTGGTCAGCTGGAAGGTTGCAGTGACCAGAGAGGATGGTGAGGAGAGGGAGGGTCGGCAGAGTCCCCAGAATCCCTGGATGTGACCCCAGGTGGAGACGAACTCTTGCACCATAGAGGCCTCCTTCCTGGCAGTGCGACTTGAGCCCAGGATGTGGCCCCTGGGTCCGAGTGGTCATCAGCCAAGCAGGGAGGTTGGACCAGCAGGATTGCTAAGGGGCCTTCCGGGTCTGTGATGATCGGAGTGGTTTGGGGGATCGGAATTTCCCTGTGGGCCCAAGGCAGAGGCTGGAAAGGTGTAATCAGACTGCGTTTGCTCTGTCAGTCTAGGCTCCTAAGCGTGGCCTGATTTCCTTTCGTTCTTGCAGCAATGTCAGGGAGAACAAGGGCTGTCCTTGTGTTGTCAAAGGAAATGTTGGGCCTGCAGGAGGTTTGCAGTGGCGCCAGGACGAGGATGCAGGCCCTGCTCCCGTCTGGCCATAGCCCTTCCCCAGCCTGGTCTGAGCTGGGTTCCTCTGGACTTGTTCCCCGAGTCTCAGGAGCCAGACCTCCAGGTATGGCCTGAAAGGTCACCTCTGAGACACAACAGAGTTGACATCAGGTGCAGCCACCTGGGTCTCCCCCGTCACCGGGCAGAACTTGCCTGGCCTTTGGAGCCAGGAGCCCCGCTCTGCCTCACATCAGCCTGTGGTTTAGGGCAAGTGATGGCAGTTCTCTGAGCCTTGGCTTCCTCATCTGTGAAATGAGGTTAATGACGTGCCCTGCCCTCCTCCAAGGTGGTTGGGAGCCTCTGGAGGGATGAGCTGTGTGGTGAGTGTTCCGTGTCAGGCCCAGTGTGAGGCAGCGTGGCTGGTCGACCCGGGCTCCGAGCAGAGCTGGATGTTGAGGCCTGGGTTTGAATTCTGGCTCTGCTTCCTAGCTGGGACATCCTGAAAGCGGGTGACAGTAGTCCCTATCTCAGAAGGTATGGGCAGGATTAGATGAGGCATCTATAGACAGCGTAGGCAGCAAACACTCCATAAGAACCGCCACCGTCATTTCTGCTACTCAGGCCCAGGGGAGAGGACAGCTTTCTGGGCGGAGTAGGTCAGGCTGCCCAGGTCTTCTTTGCCTCAGCCCCTGAGGACCAGGGCAGCCTAGCTTCCGCCGAAAGGCCCTTCTAGGAGTTCTTATCCATGGAGACAGAAGGCAAGTGTGGGCAGGAGGGCCCTTCTCGGCCTGGCCCGGAGCCTCCACTCTTTTTCAGCCTCCAGGGCCGGGAGCCTGCAGTCGGTGCCCAGTTTATTTGTGTGCCCTATACACTTGGCTTTTTAATCCTCGTCTTCCCCTGCCATCTCCCCCCATTGTCCTGCCCGAGTCCTTTAACTGGTCTCCTTTGCCAACCCTGCTGCTGCTCACTGCTGGTGGCAGAGCCAGGTCCAGCTGTGCAGAGCCCTGGCCGGGGGCAGCCAGCATGTCTCGGCCCCTGGTGCGGGGTGGACTCAGGACTCTTGTGCCTCCCACGTGGAGGACCCAAGTCCCCAGTCCATGAAGGATCCTCAGACTTTAAAAAGTTCTCTACCGTTGATTGAGAGATTGTCATGTCTGTCGAAGTCCTGAAGTCCTCGGGCCACTTTCCTTTTGTCTGGAGCTCTGAGGGCCCCTCCCTACCATAAGGGGACTGTCCTGTGCATTTGATTCGTGGTGGGTAAAATCTTTTGAAACTAGGGTTCAGGGGGGCATTGCTAACAGTGACTCTTGGAGGTGCAACAGTTCTCAGCCCCCGGGTGTTCTGGAGTCTCTTCCAGCTCTGAGACCTTCGAGGCTGGATCTGCATGGGCCTAGCCTTCCGCCTTTGACCCACAGTTTATTTTGGCTACTATTAAGCGGCTGGGTCAAGGGCATTGTCACAGAGGTCAAATCTGAAACATACTCTGTGACTTGGGCCTTTGGGGTGTGGTTAGTGTGTCCTTAGTTTCTGTTTCCCGCCCTACATGTGACTGTCACTGAGTTGTTCAAACCCAGAGTCAAGGTCAGGTTCAGCCCTGAATGCTCGAGTGGAGTGGGAGAGGCAGGAAAGTGGAGGGGAGGGCCACAGTATGTTGAGTCAGCTAGTTAGGGGAAGTACAAGTTTTTTTTCTAGAAATTTCCAGCATTCTCAGTTGGGACCTGTGTCTGTAATTGTAAGGCCAGGCTCTGGTAACACGAGTTAATAGTGATGTGACCCCGGGCAAGCCACCGAATTGCTCTGTACCTCAGTGTCCTCATCTGTAAGGGTGGGGGCCTCCTGCCTCCTGTGTTGTCCTCAGCCTTAAATAAGTTAATCCATGGAAAGCGTTAGAGTGATGGCTATAGTAAGTCCATGATAAACACTGGCTCTATTCTTATGGTGCTGGTGATTTTCCTTCCCTTTTCTAAGTGCCAGTATTCCATGAGCGGGGGGTAGGACACTCAGCTGTTGATTATGAAAATGTATAGGAATTCTGTGAGGCCTCGGATGATATCCTCTTCCTTCCTGCATCATTTACCCTTGTTTCTGGAGGCGACTAGGGGCCTAGAGCTTCTGAATCACTTTGATTCAGTTTCAGGGATTGAGCTGACTGGGGGCTGTTCTACCGCTGGCTCTTCCTTGTCCGAGGGTGCAGCTCATGGAGGTACCCACCTGTGGGGCTTACCGAGTGAGCCATGGACTCTGATTTTTTTCCCTCCGCTTCCTGGCTTCTGGAATCGGCAGATGGCCCTGGGAGAGCATCCCAGATGCTCGGCTTATCTCCCTGGGTTGGCTTCTCCCGGATCTTGGCTCTCATCTTCCCTGCTTCGTTTGCACTCCATTATATCTTAGCAGATGTCCCCTCCAGTATTTTGTTTGCTTTCTGGTTGTTTGCAGTGGGGGAGTTGGTTGGAATGACCTCATCTGTCATTACTGAAGCAGCTGTCCCAGCCTGTTCTGTCTCTGTGTGAGCTTGGCCACTTTGCTGTCCTCCTTTCCTCAGTTTCATCATCTGTAAAATGGGTCCTAGTGAAGAAGCTCATATTAGCAGCGAGCATTCAGTTTGTCCTTACCAAGATCCGGGCACTGGGCCGAGGACTTGCATTTTCAGTTCATCCTCCTGCTAGGCCTATGAGGTGTTTCTTGGCCAAAGGAACTGAGCTAAGAGATAGCTGCACAGCGAAAAATCAGAACTGGAACTCTGGTCTGTCCTGCTCCAAATCCTGTGACTTCTTTCCTGTCCCCCTGACAGGATGGAAGGAGGCAGTCAATACGAGAACACTTTCAAAAGCTCCAGGCAGGCGGTGGAAACACCTGTGGGATAGATTCAGGGGACGGTCCCTGGTGTTGGCTGGGGACTGGGCGAGGTGCTGTCTCATCCTAATTTGTTTGCTCCACAGAACAAGCTGAAGCATAAGTTGACTGTCATGTACGGTCAGATCAATGGTGCATCGAGAGCGCTGGAGGATGTGAGAGCCAGGCAGCAGGATGTGCGGGTGAGTGACAGGGCTCTACCGGCAGCCCGGCCTTGGAGGCCTCCAGGCAGGACAGTCTCAGCTTTGACCTCCACAAGGCTGTGTCAGGTCCGCTTGCAAGTGTCAGAATGAAACGTCAACCTTGCGAAACGTACAAAAAACTGTGTGCACAGGAGAGAGCCTTCACAGACCCAAACTGAAAACTGCAAGCAGGCCCAACTTTTAGGGGCGGGGGGGGGTCATTAAAAATTACAGTTAAAGTTAAAAAGTAGTAATATAAAAAGTGGTTAGGTTTAAGTGGGAGGAAAACGGGAAGCAGAAGTGTATGCTCACTAGAGTGCCTCTATTTCTAAAAAGGAAGTGTATTAGTTTTCTAGGGCTATCGTGACAATTCACCACAAAGTCGGTTTACAACAACAGAAATGTGTTCGCTCACCGTTCTGGAGGCCACCAGTCCAAAACCAGAGCGTTGAGGGGGCCATGCTCTCCCCGAAAGTTCTAGGGAAGAATCCTTGCTTGCCTCTTGCAGCTGGCAGTCCTTGGCTTGTGGCTGCATCACTCCGGTCTCTGCCGCCATCTTCACACGGCCTCCTCCTCCCTGTGTCGTCTCCCTTCTCTCTCTAAGAAGGACACTTGTCATTGGATTTAGGGTACCCAGGATGATCTCATCTCAAGGTTCCTGCCTTAGTTACATCTGTGAGGACTTTTGCTAGGTAAGGTCACATTCACAGGTTCTGGAATGTGGACTTATCCTTTTGGGCCACCATTCAATCCATTACAGGAAGTACAGGAAAAACGACTGGAAGCAAGTATAGTAAAAGGCTAGTAGTGCAAGTGTTGGAGAGGCAGGATTAGGCTGTTTTTTTCCCTCTAGTTTCACAGTTTTTAGAAGATTACGTTGCTTTTTTACGGAAAGAGGATTTGTGTTTTCATATTGTGTCCTGGAGCTGCAGTGTCCAGCTTTATGTGGCAGCCGTGGCCTCATTAGGTGAGATCTGGGTGAGGATGCCAGCTCTGTCACAACCTAGTCTGTAACACTTTGATCTGGTGCCGGGTATCTGAACCTTAGTTTTTCTTTTTGCACAACGGAATCACAACTACTTTCTGAAGGTGCCCTAGAGGCTAAATGAAAGGATGCAAATGAAAGTCCCTGTATGGTTGGGGGCAGCTAACAAAGATACCCCCGAAGGTCAGAGGCTAAAAGAAGATAGAAGTTTATTTTGCTCACTGTGACAGCTCAAGGCCAGACATGAGCACCCCGGACTGGTGGGCCGGCTCTGCTCCCCGTGATCATTCAGGGATTCAGGGTCTTTCCTTTGTATTGCCCCACTACTCCATAGAGGGTTTGCCTCATCTCTCTGGTTGAAGCTGGGTCACCATGACATCTTTGTTCCAGCCTGTGAGAAGGGGGACAGGGAAGAAGTGTGTTGCACATATCGCTTCTGCTCCCACTGCACTGGGGACAGCGTGCCACATGACCAAGCCTAGCTGCAGAGGATGCTGGGCAATGTAGTCTGTGGCTGGGCAGCCACCTGCCCGTCTAAACTCCAGGGGTGGTCTGTCACTGAAAGGAAGAAGAGGAGAACACTCAGGGACATTGGCTGTCCCACTGGACGTGGCAGAGCAAAAGTTGGGTAAAGAAATAATTGAACGCCATTCTCCTGCATACGGCCCCTCTCCTGTGTGTTTCTCTCTGTTGTATTTGGTTTTGAGCTATTGAGGTTACCCAACCTGTAAAGGGAGACTAACTCCTGGAGCAGTGCCGTCCAATAGCAAGATCATGTGAGACTCATGTGTAGCTCTAAGCACATTTGGTTCACACGTGTAATTAATTCTAATAATACATTTTAACTCAGTGTATCCAAAATGCTACCATTTCAACATATGACCAATAAAGGGGCACTAATGAGATATTTTATGTTCCTTTTTTTGTACTAAGTCTTTGAAAGCCAATGTGTATTTCACACTTAGAGCACTTCTTACTTTGGACTAGCCATATTTCAGGTACTTTGTTGCCACATGTAGCAGGTGGCTGTGGTATTGGACAGTACGGTTTTAGAGGATGATATTCTCTAGAAATTTTCTAGAACAGCTTTATACTCTTTCTTTAAAAAAAATTACCAATTTACTGCTTCCCAGCTTAAGAAACCAAATATCACCAAGGCAGTTAAAGCCCCCACTTTGCTTCTCCTTTTATATCCCCCTTCCTCTCTTCCAGAAGGGACCACTATCCTGAATTCATTTGTTTATTCCCATGTGTTTCTTTATCCTTTTATTCTGTATGTATGCATTCCTTTAGTAATGCATTCATTTAGTAATAAATACTGCTCTTCTGTTTCTTTCTAATCTTTATAAATAGAGCATGACACTGTGCGTCTTCTACAAGTCATTTTTCCCTCATGGAAATTTATCCCAGTTCATTAATTTTCATTTCTCTTTAATATCCCATCCCGTGGGTAACTTTCAGCCTATGTATCCAGGCTCCTGTTGGTAGACAGTCCAGTTGTTTTCAGAGTTTTGCCAATTCACACGATGCTGCCATGAGCATTCTTTTGTGTGTCTCTGGTGCAGGTGTCTGAGAATTTTTCTAGAATATATTCCTAGCTCTAGCTGTTGGGTCATAGGTACTGAGCACTCTCACATTCACCAGATATTGCCAAATTGCTCCCCAAAGTGGTTGTGCCCATTTGCACTCCCATGAAGTCCAGGAAAGAGCTCATGCTGCTCCACATCTTGCCACCGTGGTCCTGCAGGCTTCGCTTCCTCCCAGTCTGATGGATGCCCTCTTGTTTTGGCCCTTTTAGGAGGCTACACAGAGGAGGATGGAGCAGCTTAGCCAAGAATACATGGAAATGAAAGCTCTGATTGATGCCTCGGAGGCTAATTCGACACGAAAGATAAAGGAAGAGGAGAAGAGGGTCAGCAGCAAGTTTGACCACATCTACCAGGTCCTCCTCAAGAAGAAGAGTGAGATCCAGAATCTGAAGGAGGAGACTGAACTTGCCCTGAATAAGGGGGACGAGTTTGAGTTTCTGGAGGTGGGTCTTGATGAGGGCGTTGTTGAATGCTCTTTCTGCCTGGCATTCTGATGTTGACTATAGGTGCAGTGGGGCTCTCCAGGAGTTGGGGCTGTAAGAGATCGTTGTAAGCATCCCTGAGACACACACTGTATTAGTTTTCTCTGCTGCTTGACAGCTTACCACAAACGTAGTGGCTTAGAAGAACATCCACTTATGATCCCATATTTTCTGTGGCTCATGAGTCTTGTCGTCTTAGGGTCTCACAAGGCTGCAATCTGCGTGTCGGCTGGGCTAGTGGGCTACGTTCCTTTTGGAACTGAGGGATGTCTTCCGAGCTCACATGATGTTGATAGAATTCAGTTCCTTGTGGTTGCAGGACTGAGGTCCCAGTGTTTTGCTGGCTGTTAGCTGGGGTCCACTCTCAGTTCCTGGGGGCTGCCACACTTCCTTGTCATGTGTCCCTCTCTCAACTTGGCAGCTTACTACTTCAAAGCCAGTGGAGAGTTTCTACCTCCAGGAAGGTCCAGACTCTCCTTTAAGGGGTTCTCCCTGACTAAGTCAGGCCCACTGGGATAATCACCTTTCTGGTTAACTCAAAACCGCCAGGTTCAGGATCTTAATTACATCTGCAGCATTCCTTCAATTTTGCCACATAAGCTAACCTAATCTAAGGAGTGAATCCTATCCTATTCATGGTCCTGCCCATCCCCAAGGGGAGAGGATTATGTAGGCAGTGTACCCAGGCAGGGGGGCACCGTGGGAATATTGGGAGCCGTCTTAGAATGTTGCCTACTACGTATGCCTCCACCCACTTCTACCCATCGTCCTCCGCAAGGCCCCCTGAAGTGTCTTTCTAGAGCACAGACCCCCTGCCCTTTGTGGCTTCATGTTCCTTAAGGTGGCTCACAAGGTCCTTGGTGACCAGGCCTTGCCTTTGCCAGCAGCCTCATCTCTTGCCACCCAGCCCCCGCCCGTGCTGTAATCACAGGCACTCACCATTCCTCAGACTCAACAGGCATTGCATGGGAATGCCACGGCCGACCTTCACTGCCTAGGGAATCCTGTCCTTTTTCTGGGGCAACTCCAGTTTCCCTGTCTTCCTTGGGTCCCATTGTTCTGCCATTACTGTGGTCCAGAGCATGTTACACTACAGCCTCTGCTATAGCACTAGACAACATCTCATCTTGCTTGATTTCTCATCCTTTCGGGCAGGGCCCATCCCTTCTTACCGCCCTTCTTCCTGCTGGCATGTCCAGCGTGAAGCAGAGTGCCTGGCATGCAGTGGGTGTTCCAGTGAGCCCATCAATTGGGTGACATGCTGTGACACCTCCAAGGTCCATAATCCTTGTTCACATCATGGGGAAGGTATAGGAGTGAGAAGGGAGCCTTCTCTTCTCCCTGCTCAGACTTCTATCCATGACTGGGCTGGGTGGCAATCAGTTTCCTCTAACGTGCTCATTCCTGTTTGTGCAGTGGCTGCACCAAGCTCTCTGAGAAGGATTCAGGCCCATGTGTGGGCCTCTTGATACTGTCTGACCTGATGTTGTCTCAAGGTTGGGGCTTTTAGTCAGACCATCCCTCTCTGTCAGATGTGCCCCAGCCGCATCCCTTGAGGCATCCTTGAACACTCAGAACATGTGTTCAGAGCTGGTCCTCGAGGGATGGAGACGGTCCTGCGTCCCCCAGACTTTTTCAGCCACAGCTGGAGGAGAGGAAAGAGCATTATCTATGGGGGTCGGGGCGACTTGTGTCCCAACTTTGTCTGTGACACTAACTGGTAGCGTTCCTGGCAGGACACTTGTCATTTCTTGACTTCAGTTTCCCCGTCTGTCTGGTGAGTGACTTCCAGGGCCCTTCCCGCTCCAGATCACTGTGTCTGAAAGTGGCACTTTAACCCCGGGACCTCTGGTCTGTAATTTGAGAAGGCTGATTGGACTTAGCGCCCTTGGGCACAGGGAAGCTCCTCCCGCAGTTCATGAGACCTGAGCCCTGGCCCTGGCTTCACCAGAGTTCCCTGCCCTAACTCCCTGGATTGTTCCAGAAAGCGGCAAAACTGCAAGGAGTCTCAACGAAGCCAGTCTACGTCCCCAAGGTGGAGCTGAATCAGGAGCTGATCAAGGGCGTCTGCCAGGGCACCTTAGACCTCAAAAACGAGCTGAAGCGGTATATCCAACAGTCCCAGGACAAGAAGCCCCATGAGCCCCCTGTCTCAGGTAACCACTGGGCCCCCTGAGATGGGATGAGTCCCTTGGGGGCTCTGGGCTAGGGGGAGGGTCATGATCTGGAGCAGTGGGGCTTGAGTTCAAGGGTCCTGGGTCATCTGCCCTTCCTCTGGGGGGACGTGGGGAGTCTCTGCTTCATCCTGAGATTGTCGCGGTCCTTCCTAAATCATTTCTGGGGGCTGGATCTTATGCTGGGCCTTTCTGGATGGGCTTGTTTAGCTGTGATCTTGCGGCCGACTCAGATGGGTCTTGAATGGAAGCTGGGTTGTCGGGGTATTTGGTGGGGGAGTGGCTAGTTTTGGCATCAGAGAAACCTAGAACTTCTCCTTCCATCTGTTTTCCTTCCCCTCCTATCCAATCCATCCCCCGATTTTGCTTCTTAAATATCTGCTGACCAGGTCCCTGGTCCCATATCAGCCAGCACCGGCCTGCTCTCCGTTGCCATCACCTGTGGCAGCTTCCTAAATAGTCCCTCTGCATCCACTGCTGCAGCCCTAGAGAGCTTTTCAGGATACAAATCTGACCTCCTGGGACCTTGTCGCCCTCACCCCTTTCAGGGAATTTCCACTGCTCTTAGATTACAGACCAGACTCTCGACCTTGACCTACAAGTCCCTGCCTCAGGCCCTGTCTGTCTCTCCAGCCCTGAAGTGCCACCTCCTGCCATGCGTCTCTCTGCATTCAGTTCCTCAGACATGCTAATCTTTCTGCCATAGGGCCTTTGTATGTGCCCTTCGTGCTGTCTGGAAAGCTCATACACCACCGTCTTCACAAGTTAACTCCTCTCATCCTTTGAAGATCTGTTAAAACATTACATTTCTCAGCCAACCTCCCCTGTCACCCTTCTCGTTCCCCTGACTAGGTCCCAGGATCTTCATCACCCCTTGGGCCCCTTTGTAAATCTGTCATTTTACTCTTCCTTGCCGATCCTGTCTGTCTCCCCATCGAATTGTGATCTTTGTTGGGCAGGCGCTGGAGCAGTTTCCCATTGAACACTCTCTCCACGGTGCCTAGCACCGAGCCTGGCTCATAGCGAACCTTTGCTGTGGAGTCCAGGGGGTGCGCTTGAGTTTCAGCTCGGCAAGCCGAGTGTCCTTGCCAAAGGGCTTCTGAAACAGGTGTGCGTGGCTCTGCTGTGGAGTGTGAAGCTGTTGGTAGATTAGCCACACATACTTGTTTTCCTGTTGCACCAGCGATCCCTAGTCAGGGGGCAGGGGGACAGAGAAAACCAGAGGGAAGGGAACTAGCACTACACGCCAGGCGTCTGATCCCAGCTCCCTTGAGCGAGGGGAATCATCCCCACCATATGCTGGAAGAAACGGAAGCACAGCGAGCGTTCAGAGCTCCTGGAGCTGGGTGCTGGTGGAGACTCAGCCCTGGCTACGTTTTAAGCCAGAGAGGAGAGGGACCATCCCAAGCTGGTCCTTCTCTTTTCCTGTTTCTAGTTCTTGTAAATGAGTGGATGGGGAAGGTCAGTGGAAATGACTGTCTTTGCCAATCCTCTACCTGCCCGCCTGTGGCAAAGCTGGCTCTGACGGTTGCTTTGAAGGAACTGAATAACCTGACCCCATCTTTTTTGCACAGGGGACCCTGGAGAGCATGGTGGAGTGTTCCCATCCAAAACCTCACGCCCTGTGAAGAAGGTCCCAAGTAAGTAACACCACCGCTGTCCCTGTCGCAACAGCATGGCTGTGAGTGGCTGGTCCTCTGGCTGACACAGGCGTCGCATACCTCCAGAGGGGCACACCCATCCCAAGTCACCTTAGGTGCCCAGGTGCTTCTGGAGAGAAGTGTGGCTACAAGACCCCCTTGAGGACAAGTTGAAGGGGCTGTTGCAGGAGCTCCCCTGGGGCCCTGACGGGTCCGGCCCATCAGCATTAGATATGCGGGCTGTCTGGAGCAGCAGGATCATCCAAGCTGGCTGTCTTGAGAAATACTTAGGACACCCAAGTTCTAGCCCTGGGCAGAGCCTCCTGGAGGAGACGGATGGTGGTCCCGGAGCAGCGGAGGCTACACCGAGCTGGCAGCTCAGAGCTGCCCCGTCTTCAGCTGTAATGTGCTCTTGTTGTTAAGTGCTCCCCGACCTGCTTTTCACTATTGCCCTCTTGTCGCCTTACTCCCTGAGCCACGTTAGACTCTTTTTTTCTGATTGCCCCTGCCCATGAAATTTTAATGCCACACTTATGTGTATATCTGTTTGTGTACTGTGCTTTTATACATAAAAAGAGTAAGACTTCCCCCTCTCCCCCCGAGAATCAATTCTTGTCCCCTGAGGGGCTGTGTCACCTTGTTGAGAAGGCACCTGGTCCTCAGTTTCCTCATCTGTCAAATTTGGACATTAACGGTATCAACTGTGCGGGATGATTGTGAGTGACATTTACAACGGACACTGATTGTGACAGCTCTTTAAAGACCCTAACTGTGCCCCGGAACTCTTGGCTGTTGCTGCTTCCCTGAAAAGTCCGTGTGCACCGAAGAGTGATGCCCACAGCGCTGGGTGTTGGGGGGTGAGAGAACTCTGGGCTTGTTTGTGTGGTCGGTTGTGTCTGTGTTTGGGTTGTCTTTGGCAGACAGGTGTGTGGAGTCCATCCCTGGAGCAGAGTCAAGGGCTGGGATGCAGATGGAGAGGGAGCCCGTAGCTGAGCTGGAAAATGTAGAAAGACACTTTGTAGGAAGAGGGAAGCGGAAGAGTAGGTGAAAAACACTGTAGGCCTGTGTCCTTTTCAAGCCACACGCCCCTGAGAGCTCCCTTGCTCCCGCGCCAGACCACAGGCTCCAGCCTTAGCCCGCGGGAGCTGTGGATGCTGCCACCAGGCGGAGATGGGGAAATAGGCAAGGAGGGGTGGACTAGTCACAGTGTAGATGAGACTTCTAAGGCTTGTGATGATCGGGGAGGGGGCCCTGTGCCCTAGGCCGGCCTTGCAGCCTGGAGGCCCTCCAAGATGCTGGTCCAATGAGGGTGGGCAGGAGAGGAGTGGAGGGTGAGGAAATGAGGGAAAAGTGAGGACAAATGGGCCAGGTGGGGTGAGGGAGGGTCTGTTGGGGACAGGAGGAGAGAGTGGGCTAGTCTGTAATGTAAAGTCTCCTGCAGGCGGGCAGGGGTAAGATCCCAAACCCCCTCTTGATGCCAGTGGCGGGGAAGGTGGCCGAGTGAACCCAAAATGTAGCCCACTTCAACTCGAGTCTGCATCGGAGTCACCTGGGGAGCTCGTAACACAGATTGCTGGGCCCGCCCCAAATGTTCACATTCAGCTGGTGTGGGGTGGGGCCTGAGAATTTGCATTTCCCACGGGTTCCCAGGTGATGGAGATGCTGCTGGTTTGGGGACCACACTTTGAGAACCACTGTTTTAGCTAAACTCAGTTCCCATCCCTGCACACTCTAGAGAGTTTGTAAAGACCATTGTGATACGTGGCCAGCATGTTTTTTTGCTGACTCTCCGTTTGTCTTTTTTACGTCTTTTCTTTTGTGGAGGTATGATTCACTCACAGTAAAATGCACAGATCTTAAATGTACAGTTAGAGAAACTTTGACAAATGCAGACGTGTGTGTTACCATTACTTCCGAAAATTTCTTCATGCTCCTTATTAGTCAGTCTCTTCCGCCACAACCACTGATGTGTTTCCTTTGTTTTTTGATTGGCCCTGACTTCACACCTGTTGCCAATCTTCCTCTTGTTTTTTTTTTTGTTTTCCCCTCCCCAAAGCCCCAGGACATAGTTGTGTATCCTAGTTGTAGGTCATTTGAATTCTTCTATGTGGGACACCACAGCATGGATTGATGAGTGGTGCATAGGTCTGCGGCCAGGATCTGAACCTTGGGCCACGAGAGCAGAGCACGCAAACTTAACCACTCTGCCACGGGGCCAGCCCTGATGTGGGTTTTTGTTACCGTAGATTCATTTGCTTGTTGGCCCCTAATATTTTTCAAGTTAAAACATCCTACCTTTATTTTTAGGGGTAGAATTCATGCAAATGATTGTTATTACGGTGTTTTGAAAGTTTCCTTGCGTTGTGCTTTAAAATATCTTAATTCTGAAAATTTTCTTTTTCAGAAGACGACAAGAAAACCAAGAAACCTGGTAAGTTGCACGTTTCTGCATCTGTTGTTTCTTGAGACTGCCTGAGCACAGAACTCAGAGCCAGCAGGGACAGCTGACCTGTCTTGTCAAGGGTCTGTGACGGGGCCTGCGTTCTATGAGTGTGTTCTGGAAGAGCGGACAGGCCTGAGGTTGGAGGAGAGGACAAGTATGAGGCAATCAGATGACTGTGGCCCTGTCTGGATGCACATGTGTTGTCCCAGTTGTCTGAGTGTGTTTTGTGGAAGTGGTTCTTGAAAATCAGCTTGGAAGGGAGCAGAGGCCATCAGGTCCATTCTGTGTCACGTCCCCAATTCATGTTTCTCCTTTTTCATTTCCAGCCCCACCCAGCAAAATTTCCTTTGGAGCCCCGGAACAGACAATGGAGTCAAAACAATCTGGTCCAGAGGGTGAGTTATTGTGAGCAAGGGGAAGTAGGGTGTCCACTCTGTGTTTGTTCTGGAAACCACTCTGTGTTTTCTCACTCAGCTGGAGCCAAAACCACCACCCCACAGGCGAACTCGGTGTCTCTCAAGGCCAAGGTGCTGGAGGCCTTTCTAGCCAAGTCCAGATCTGAGCTCCTGGAGTGTGAGTACTTCGGCTCTGGCGAGCGGTCCTGCTGGCTCTCAGTCTCTCCTGCGTGGCTCTGCCCAGCTCCTCGCTCTTGCCTCTGTCCAGCGTGGTCAGCCTCTCCCTTGTCAGCTGCTCGCCTGTCCTCTGCTATGTTGCACCCTTGCTTTCTCCCTTCTGTCAGCACCTGCCTTCCTTCACCTCCCGTCGTAGGCAGCCTAGATTCCATAATCAGTTCTTTAAATCCTCGTCTGGCTGTCCATTCTGGCTCAACCCCAGCTCTGCTTGAACCCAGTTCATCCTTTTCTCTGGATGAACTGGAGCCAGCGGCTGTGCCCCGGATATCACTGGGCATCCCACTGCTGGTCCTCCTGCTCTGGTTTTCCTGTCGACCCCCCTGCCATTCGAAAACCTTCCCTCTTGCTGAAACCTCAGCCCTCTTCCGGTGCTCCCCAGCATCCTCTGCTTCACAGAGAAGAGAAACGCTCTGGGAGGGGACTCCCTCATCCTCTTAGTTATTGTCATCTCACTTGATTCTATACCCTCTTCCTCCTGCCCTCGCTGTCCTGTCTCCCAAGGTCAGTACCTTGGCCAGGAGTCTGGCTCTCATTCTTCCTGCTGTCTCTGGAATTTTACACTCTCAGTTAGGCCTCAGTTATGGATGTATGGATAGATGGGTTGATGTATGGGTGGATACATGGATGGATGCATGGATGGATGGATAGATGGATGGATAGATGTGTGGATAGATGGATGGACAGATGGATGCGTGCATGGATGAATACATGGGTGAATAGATAGATGGATGGATAGATGGGTGAATAGATAAATAGATGGATGGATGGATGGATGGATGGATGCATATGTGGATGGATGGATGGATAAAAGAAATGAGTATATACTACCAGTTGGGGAAAGTTTTAAAAGTGAGAGTACTTTGAGCACCTAGTAATTGATTCCTTGGGGTAATGCTTTCTTAGATGCTGTTAGAGTCATCCTGGACTACAACACCGCCCACAGCAAGGTGGCTCTGTCAGAGAACTACACCGTAGCTTCTGTGGCTGACGTACCCCAGAGCTACCGGCCCCATCCTCAGAGGTTCATGTACTGCTCTCAGGTGCTGGGCTTGCACTGCTACAAGAAAGGGATCCACTACTGGGAGGTTGAGCTGCAGAAGAACAACTTCTGTGGGGTGGGCATCTGCTATGGCAGCATGCAACGGCAGGGCCCTGAGAGCCGGCTCGGCCGCAACAGCTCCTCCTGGTGCGTGGAGTGGTTCAACACCAAGATCTCTGCCTGGCACAACAATGTGGAGAAAACCCTCCCCCCCACCAAGGCCACGCGGGTTGGTGTGCTTCTCAACTGTGACCACGGCTTTGTCATTTTCTTTGCTGTCACTGACAAGGTCCACCTGATGTATAAGTATAAGGTGGACTTTACCGAAGCTCTGTACCCAGCTTTTTGGGTGTTCTCTGCAGGTGCCACGCTGTCCGTCTGCTCCTCCAAGTAGGCGGGCCATGGACAATGTCTCTGGCTGACTACCAGTGGAGTGCCCAAGGCTCTAGTGAAAATGCTGCAGGTGGAGCTCTCTCAGAGGACTTCCCTGAGAGTCCCTAAGTTGAAAGGATGGGAGGGGAGTGGGTGGCAGGTGGGAGGGTGGGGAGATGGGATAGAGGAGGGATTTGGCCAAGGCAAGGGGTGGGGTGGCAGTGATTGTGTTGTGGGTGAGGAAGCATTTCTACCTCCCGGCGCCCATCAGGGCAGGGGGACCTCCTCCCTCTTGTTTTGGTAGCTCTCCAGGCTGCTGGGCAGCTGGATGGGGCTTTTGGGGACAAGTCCTTACTGCCCCTTTCCTCCTGGAGAAATCTGTAGCCACTGCAGGATCTTCTTGCGTCCCTTGGTGTATGTCCGGTGGCTCTCCGGAGTGGCCTTCAGATTTTCGTGTTTTGATTACTCTCTATAGGGCTATTGAACTCTATAGATTTTTTAAAATTCCACAGTCATGGGATTTCAATGTTAGTCAGCCCCCACTACCCACGTGTCGGGCGTAGGGTGAGCGCTCAGACTCCTGGTTATTTTCGGTGCTTGAGGGAAACCACCACAGGAGACCCCCTCCCAGACCAGACTCTCCCCCAGAAGCGTGTCCTCCTCCACTGGAAGGCAGGCCTGCTTCCCTGGTCTCCTGCACCCCTCTTCACCCCAGTCGATGGTTTTGAAAGGTTTAGTCGAACAGGAACCTTTTCAGCCTAAGGCTTCAAAGCATGATCTGAATCAGCCAGTGCTGAATTTGCGATTCGAGGTCAAGGTGACCCAGGTCCCGTGTGGACGGAAACCCTTCCCACTCCCCAGTGTCGTGAAAGGCATATCCGTAGCCATCCTCTGGCTGCAGCTCTGGAGCCTGGCGGGAGGCCTCTTCCCATAGCCTAGGCTTTGGGGCAAGGAAGTCCTCAGGGCAAGAGGGACGCTGACTTAGTTTGATGGAATTGTGGTGATTTTGCTCTTATTAGAGTGTCTTGCTTTCTTAATGATAACCGTCCTTGGTGACAGCCCCTCCTCCCCAGGATTGTGAGATGCTGGACTGGCTGGTTAGATACCACTGTGGCCAACACAGTGGAGTGACAGCTAAGCCCAACATCAGAACCCTGTTATCATGCAGAAAGTCCGTGTATACCTGCCTTAGGGACAATCCTAGGTCACCTGCTGGGATGACAACCTATGACCAAAAGGGCCTTCTAGCAGATCTCATGGGAAATAGCAACATTCCTGTTCATCCTTGGCCACGCACTGCAGACCCAGCACTGGCCCTTGCATGGGTCCGTCACCGGCTCTAGCCGCTTCTGCTCTCTTCCTTGTCTGAGGCAGTTCCAGATGGGGGATTGACCAGGCTAGGGCTCAGGAAGACTTTAAAGACCAGGGAGGGAACAAGCCACAGGGCTCAAGCACAAGGGGCTATTTTTCCTGCAGTGTTTCTGTGCAGTGAGAATAACCCCAGTCCACTAATGGCAGGAGTGAATGGACCGCTGGAATTTCCCAAGCTCCTCATATCCTGATATTGTCAGCATGTAAGTGGTAGAAAGTCCAAAGTGGTAGAAATTTTACCTCTTGTGGTGAAATGAGTCCAGCTCTGGGCTTTCCAAGAGGAGAGCTCAGGTCAGGCTCCTTGTGATATGCAAAGGAGGTCATCACTGGGGAAGGAAGGTGGACCCCAGACCTTCTCACATGGACTTTCGAGAACGTAACACATCTCTGGCCTTGTGCTGGAATTCCAGGGCACGCCAGTCAGTCCAGGAGCTCTTGGCCTTCCTGGCAGATGTGTTGATATGTGTCTTCTCCCAAGGACTTCCACTTCCTTGGGAGAGAGATCATCTCTGTAGGGAAGACATCCCTGCAAGAGCCGAAATGTGGTTCTTTAAAGTTTTCTTCCTTTGTTACTGGGAAGAGAATTTCTTTGGGGATTTTCTCTGCTTTTGGAGATGATGAAAAGCAACTTCATTGATCTTCTGAAAGAAAAAGCTGTCTGAAGGCACTTTATACTTGGGAAACAGCCGGGCTTAGAGGAGGAGAGTGCCAATGACTTATCCTCGGGTCGTGCCGCGGCTCTCTTCTGCACAAGTAGGGGCCACAGAGAGGCCTCTTGCCTGGTGAACACACAGCTCAGGATGGGGAAGACTCCTCCTTCTGTTTATGAGAGGCAGGTAGGTGATCCAAGCCGAGCTCTGTGACGGGCGCTTTGGAGATGTCAATCTAGGAGCGCACCTTGCGTCTCCAGCCTTACATTCCCTGGCCTTGCAGGGCTGCTGAGTCCTAGAGTGGCAGGAGCCTTTGTATCCCTCTGATTTCTCATTTTGCAGAATATGTCAGATGGGGAGGTATTGGATGACTCTGCTCACTGCTCTCCCCATCCCATCGTGGAGGAGATGCCTCCTGGAGTGTGTGAGGGATCAACCCTGAACCCTGGGGGTGTGTTAGAAATTCCCAGAAACAGAAACATAAAAATACTCTCCAGGTATTAGGGACTATCCTAGTCACTCTGACGTGATAAACCCAAGGTCAGGGTCAAGTTTTTGTGTTATTTAAGACTTCTTGGTTGGGTCCCCTGTTTTAATTACTCTGAAATGGATCTGTAATCTGTAACTAATACTGACATGGTATCTCTTACCTATTCAGCACCCCCCCCCCCCCCCCATTGATTTGAATTAGTTAGGAGTATTTGAGCTGTTATTCCTTCCGCTTATTTTGTTAGATTTGGTTCTTTAGGAGATAATCAGGGCTGTGGACACGAACCTTTGGAATCCCATGAGAAATACCAGGGCGAGGCTGATGACATGCCTTAGAAGCCTTGAATGTAATCAAGTGGCGCTTGGTGTTCTCTCTGGCATCGCAGTGCGTGTAGAAAATGGTACTGATCTGTATGCTGGAGTCAGCCAGTGAGGTGCCCACCGTGGGAGGCTGCTGGCCAGGGCCTCTGGAAGCTCACCCCCAGGGAGTTGAGATTTCAGCGTGCCTATAGCCCATGTGAAGACTGCCGTGGGTGCAGCACCCCCTTGGGAAGCTTTTGATAAAGAATTCTCAGAATGATAGGATGTCCTTCTGGGCTTTGCTTCAGGATAATCTGAGGATGAGCGGTATGGAGAAGGGCAGGCGATATGCGTGAAAGGGTAAGCCACATGCAGATAATCAGCGAGACACTGATGGGAATGTGCGGGTTCATTATATTATTCTTCCTACTGCTGATTATACTTGAGCGTTTCTATAATAAAGATTTTTAAAAATGAAACAAAAAACCCGCCAAGGCCAGCAATGGGCCCTGTCCAGTGGATTTTATTGCTGTTGAATAGGGGTAGGAGTTACAGGAGGTGTGGACTTGAGGTTGTTGTAGAATAAAGAACTCGACCAGCCTTTGTGCTGGGTCCTGGTGGGGAGATGCTAAATTCTTGGAATTTCCCAAGTAATAGGGGTGTCTGTTATTCATGAGCCCCTGGATCACACTTGAGTTTAGGCCAAGAGGTGAGATGACTCAGGATTGGGGCTGGTCACAGAAAGACCAGCCACGAAATTGGAGGGTTGGGACTCTGAGCCAGCCTGACCACCAGGAAGGAGAGAGGGACTAGAAATTGAATCGAATCCTGTGGCCAGAGAGTCAGTCAGTTATGCCTAAGTAACCGAAACCCCGACTAAAATCTCTGGACCCTGAGGCTCCACTGAACACACTGAGGAGCCAGGAAGGTGATGCACCCTGGTTCCGCAGGGAGAGAGTGTGGAAGCTCTGCATTTCACTCCCTCCTAGACCTCACTCTATGTCTGTCCGTTTGGCTGGTCTGATTTGTATCCTTTATAATAAAACTGTAATCATAAATATAGTGCTTTTCTGAGCTCTGTGATTCTAGTGAATTACTGAACCTGAGGAGGGTCATGTGCTATAGATTGAATGTCTGTGTTGCTTCAAAATTCAAATGTTGAAACCTAACCCTGAATGTGAGGGTGTTCAAGGTGATCAGGGAGGTGATAAAGTCCTACAGTTGGAGCCTCGTGAATGAGATTAGTGCTCTTTTGAAAGAGACACCACAGAGCTCCCTCACCCTTTCTGCCGTGTGAGGACAGAGCAAGAAGTCAACTGCCTATGAACCAGGAAGCAGGTCCTCACCAGATACCGAATCTGCCAACACCTGGATCTTGGACTTCCAGCTTCCAGAACTGTGAGAAATAAATGTTTGTTGCCTAAGCCACCCAGTTTATGGCATTTTTGTTATAGCAGCCCAAACAGACTAAGACATCATGGGAACCTTCAGGGTTTGTAGCCAGTTGGTCAGAAGTGTGGGTAACCTGGGGACCCCTGAAGTGTGGCTGGTGTCTTGAGTGAGTGCAGTCTTGTTGGGACTGTGACCCTTTAGCCTGTGGAGCCTAATGCTAACTCCAGGTGGTTAGCAGCAAAATTGCATTGCAGTACGCCAGTTAGTCTTAGAATAGAGGTGGTGGAACGTGCAAACTTCGGATGAGCCCTTCTTGATCAACCTGTCAGAATAAAACACACTGTTCTTAAAAGGAACTCCCAAGTTTCTTCTCTCTGGTGTCAAATCCCCAGGGTTTAAAATTCTGGGTTTTGTTCTCTCTCATCCCTACCCCTTCTTGTGATTTCTTCTTCCTTACTTTCACTGTACCCAGAAAAATACTCAGTATGTCAGTTACAGACTTGTCCTCCCATTCATTCAGAGATGCCACTTAAGCTGTCTCTTCTGTTTCAATAAAAAGTTCAAGATGGTAACTTGCAAGTCCTCAGTAAAGCACAGCAAGGCTGTGAGTGCTTGTGTGTGTGTGTGGCGGGGGTGGGGGGGGGGGGGGGGTGGGGCTAATTTTAAAGTCACTTGTGCTCTTCTGGAGTGATCCATTCGTAATATTGGATTCTCTCATGGGTCTTACATCTCTCATCTTGCCTGTTCCCAGGTGGTCTTGAAATGCCTTTGCATCTTAAATAATAGATGGATCCCCAGCCTTTATTTACCTTGGTGTCATAGCTTGCCTTCATTTTACTGTGGAACAGTCTTAATATGGAAACTATGAGAAGGCTCTAAGAAAGTGGGTCTAGGAGTGAAGGGGAAGAGAAGAAGAGTAATAAGAAAGGCTCATTGAAGGGGTAATTTGGGACATTGACATTTAATTATAATGTGTCTTGGTGTGGGTCACTTTGGATTCCTCTTATTGGGAGTTCCCTGAGATTCCTGGATCTGGATGGATGTTTACTTTACTAGCTTAGGAAAGTTTTTAGCCACTATGCCTTCAAACATGATTTCTGCCCCTTTTTCTCTCTTCTCCTTCTGAGACCCTCTATAATGTGAATGCTAGTCCATTTGATATTGTCTCATAAGCCCCTCATGTCATCTTCACTTTTTTCATTCTTTTCTCTTTTTGCTGCTCTGATTGAGTGAGTTACATTGCTTTGTCTTCAAGTGGACTGATCTTTTCTTCTGCTTTATGTAGTCTGCTATTGAACCCCTCTAGTGTACTTCTCAGTTCAGTTATTTCATTCTTCAGCTCTGTATCTTCTATTTGGTACTTTCTTATGTTTTCCATCTCTTGTTGAAGTTCTCACTGTGTTGATCCATTCTTCTCTCCAGTTTGGTGAGCATCTTTATGACCATTACTTTGAAGTCTTTATCAGGTATATTACTTGTCTCCATTACATCAAGTTTTTTTTCCTGAGGTTTATCTTGTTCTTTCAGTTGGAACATATTCCTTTGTTTCTTTATTTTGCTTGACTCTCTGTGATACCACTTACATCCATGGATGGATCATCCAGACAGAAATTCAATAAGCAAACATCAGCCTTAAATGACACATTAGACCAGGTGGACTTAACAGATATATACAGAACATTCTGTCCAAAAGTAGCAGAATATACATTTTCCTCAAGCGTGCATGGCACACTTTCCAAGGTGGATCATATACTAGGCCACAAAATAAGTCTTAATAAATTTAAGAGGGTTGAAATCATATCAAGCATTTTTCTGACCACAATGATATGAAACTAGAAATTGAATATGAATATGAAATATGAAGACAACTGGAAAATTCACAAATATATGGAGATTAAACAACATGATACTGAACGACCAATGGATCAAAGAAGAAATTGAAAGAGAAATAATAAAAATACCTTGAGACAAATGAAAATGGAAATATAACATAAAATTTGTAAGATGCAGCAAAAGCAATTCTAAGAGGGAAGCTCATAGTGATGAATGTCTGCTTCAAGAAACAAGACTGAAATGAACAACCTAACTTTACGCCTCAAGGAACTAGAAGAACAAACAAAGCCCAATGTTAGTGGAAGGAAGGAAACAACAGACAGTAGAACAGAAATAAGTGAAATAGAGACTAAAAAGACAATAGAGAAGATCAATGAAACTAAGAGCTGGTTCTTTGAAAATATAAACAAAATTGATAAATCTTTTGCCAGCTCATCAAGAAAAAAGAGAGAGGACTCAAATAAATAAAATCAGAAATGAAAGAGGAGATGTCATAACTGATACCACAGAAATACAAATGATCTTAAGAGACTACTATGAACAATTATACACCAACAATTTGGGCAACCTAGAAGAAAAGGATAAATTCCTAGAAACATACACCCTGCCAAGACTGAATTATAAAGAAATAGAAAATCTGAATAGACAAGTTACTAGTAAGAAGATGGCATCAGTAATCAAAAACCTCCCAACAAACAAATTCCAGGACCAGAGAGCTTCACTGGTGAATTCTACCAAACATTCAATGAAGAATTAATACCAATCCTTCTCAAACTCTTCCAAAAAAGAAGAGGAGGGAATTCTTCCAAACTCATTTTATGAGGCCAGCATTACTCTGATACCAAAATCAGACAAGGATGCCACAAGAAAAAAAATTACAGGCCAATATCCCTGATGAACATAAATGTAAAAATCCTCCACAAAATATTAGCAAACTGAATTCAACAATACATTAAAAATATCCTACACCATGATCAATTGAGATTTATTCCAGGGATGGAAGATGGTTCAACATCTGCAAATAAGTCAATGTGATACATTACAGTAATAAAATGAAGGATAAAAATTATATGATCATCTCACTAGATGCAGAAAAAGCATTTGACAAAATTCAACATCCATTTATGATAAAAACTCAACAAGGTGAGTACAGAGGAGGCATATCTCAACATAATTAAGGCTATATATGATAAGCCCAGAGTTAACATGATAGTCAACAGTGAAAAGTTGAAATCATTTCCTTTAAGGTCAGGACCCAAACAAGGACGCCTATTCTGGCCACTTTTTTTTTTTTTTTTTGAGGAAGATCAGCCCTGAGCTAACATCTGCTGCCAATCCTCCTCTTTTTGCTGAGAAGACTGGCCCTGAGTTAACATCCATGCCCATCTTCCTCTACTTTATATGTGGGACGCCTACCACAGCATGGTTTGGCAAGCAATGCCGTGTCTGCACCTGGGATCTGAACCTGCAAACCCCAGGCCGCCAAAGCTGAACATGCACACTTAACTGCTGCGCCACCAGGCTGGCCGTCTGGCCACTTTTATTCAACATAATATTGGAAGTCCTAGCCAGAGCAATTAGGCAAGGAAAAGAAATAAAAGTCTTCCCAATTGGAAAGGAAGAAGTAAAACTGTTGCTATTTGCAGATGACATCATATTTATATATAGAAAACCCTAAATACACCATCAAAAAACTGATAAAACTAATAACTTCAGTAAAGTTACAGGGCACAAAATCAATACACAAAAATCAGTCACATTTCTTTTTTTTTTTAAGATTGCTACCTGAGCTAACATCTGTTGCCAATTTTTTTCTTCTTCTTCTCCTCCCCAAAGCCCCCCAGTACATAGTTGTATATAGTTGTAGGTCCTTCTGGTTGTGCTATGTGGGATGCCACCTTAGCATGCCCTGATGAGTGGTGCCAGGTCTACACCCAAGATCTGAACTGGGGAAATCCTAGGCTGCTGAAGCAGAGTGCACAAACTTAACCACTTGGCCATGGGATTGGCCCCTCTTTTTTTTTTTTTTTTAAGTGAGGAAGCTTGGCCCTGAGCTAACATCTGTTGCCAATTCCTCTTTTTATTCTCCCCAAAGCCCCCAATACATAGTTGTATATCATAGTTGTAGGTCATTCTAGTTCTTCTATGTGGAATGCCACCACAACATGGCTCGATGAGCAGTGTGTAGTTTCATGGATCTGAACCAGTGAACCCCAAGCTGCCAAAGCAGAGTGCATGAACTTAACCACTTAGCCATGGGGCCAGCACTTGGCTGCATTTCTATACGCTAATAATGAAGTAAGAGAAAAATAAATTAAGAAAAAAATCCCATTTACAATTACATCAAAACAAATAAAATACCTAGGATTAAATTTAACCAAGGAGGTGAAAGACCTGTATATTAAAAAATACAAGACATTAATGAAAGAAATTGAAGAAGATGGAAAGATATTTTGTGCTCTTGGATTGGAAGGATCAATATTGTTAAATTGTCCATCTTACCCAAAGCAATCTACAGATTCAATGTGATCCCTATCAATATTCCAATGGCATTTTTCAAGGAAATAAAACAAAAAAGAGCTAAAATTTGTATGGAACTATAAAAAACCATGAATAGCTAAAGCAATCTTGAGAAAGAAGAATAAAGCTGGAGGCACCACACTCTGGGATGTCAAACTATTTTACAAAGCTTAGTAATTAAAACCATGTGGTATTGGCATAAAAACAGACACATAAATCAATGGAATAGAATAGAAAGCCCAGAAATAAACCCATGTATATATGGTAAATTAATTTATGACAAAGGAGCCAAGAGTGTACAATGGGGAAAGAACAATTGCTTCAATAAA